GGGAAGAAACGGAGGTCGAGGAAGAGGCAGTTGGTGAGGCAGAGGTAGCCGGGGTGGCAAATCGTCACGAGATAACAACCAAGACCGTTGGAAGAATTGAGACAAGAAACACATCACGTGTTTCAACAGTGATGTTTTTGGTCATTTTGCATCTGAATGCCCTAACCCAAAACGTACAGAAGGCGATGTGAATCTCACTCAAGCACAAGAAGATGAGACAACTCTATTCTTGACAATACATGGAGAAAAGATTGAAGAGTTGGTTTTGTTAAATGAAGACAATGTCTTTCCGAGTCTAAATGGGAATGAAAAAGACACATGGTATCTAAACAATGGAGCTAGTAACCATATGACAGGAGTAAGAGATTACTTTGCAGAATTGGATGAAAATATAAGGGGACAGGTACGGTTTGGAGACAGGTCAAGAGTTCAGATCAAAGGGAAGGGAACCATCTTGCTAGACTGCAAGAATAAAGAACAACTGGTCATTAAAGAAGTGTATTACATTCCGGCCCTTCGAAGTAACATTCTAAGTCTCGGGAAGATGATGGAAGAGGGATACGAAATTGGGATGAAGCAAGACTTTCTGAAAGTACACGACAAGTACAACAGGTTGGTGATGAAGGTACAACGTTCGAAAAACCGTTTGTACAAGATAGTGCTTCGTACAACTCAACCGGTTTGTCTTCATACGAAAATAGACGACACGGCTTGGCTATGACATGCGCGCCTAGGGCATGTCAATTTTCGTTTGTTAGAATCCATGGTGGAGAAAGGAATGGTGCGTGGAGTACCAAAGGTGTGCCACCCAGCACAAGTTTGTGAAGGGTGTCTAGTAGCCAAGCAGACTCGCCAGTCGTTCCCACAAGAATCTCAATGTCAAACAAGTGTCCCGTTAGAATTCGTGCATGCTGACCTCTGTGGGCCCATAACACCACAAACAATAGCGAGTAATCACTACTTCCTCCTTCTTGTTGATTACCACAGCAGATTCATGTGGGTATACATGCTCAAGCAAAAGAGTGAGGCTTTTGAAACCTTCAAGAGGTTTAGAAAACAGGTGGAAAGCGAAACCGGGTTCATGCTAAAGGTTTTGCGCACTGATCGTGGAGGAGAATTTACATCTGATGAATTTAATGAATATTGTAGCAAGGAAGGAATAAGGCGACAGCTAACCGCTCCATACTCCCCACAGCGAAACGGAGTTGTGGAGCGTAATCGAACCATCCTTGAAGTCACAAGATCGTTACTGCCAGCAATGGAAGATCCATAAATCTTGTGGGGAGAGGCAGTACACCATGCTGTTCAGATTCTCAATCAAGTTCGAACAAAAGGGGTAAAAGATAAAACTCCTTTTGAAGCACTGTATGAGAAGAAACCAACACTAGAGCATTTTAGGGTCTTTGGTTGTGTGGCACATGCAAAGAGAACAACCAACAAGCTTACAAAGCTAAGTGATCGCAACATTCAATTGGTGTATCTTGGCAACGAACCAGGGAGCAAAGGTTTTCGTCTGTACAACCCAAGTGAAAAGTAGAAATATGTGGCTAGGGATGTGATATTCGATGAAGGAACAAAATGGAAGTGGGCCACATCTCAAAACGAAACACAGGTTTTTGGTCAAGACTGGACTAGATTTCCAAGTGAAATCTCTTATGAAGATGTAACAGAAAACAACGATCAAGCCCAAGACCAGGGAGTCCAACACGAGGAAGGAAGCCCAGGAAGTCCGTTTCCTAGCTCTGGTTCATCCAACCCAACAAGCTCAGCACAAACCCTTACTTTAGTAACATGCGACGAAAGTAGTTCATCTCCCCAAGCATCAACAATGTCATCAGATTCGTTACCAAACCGATCGACATACGGCGATACACCAGTTCGAGGGTTCCGCACATTGGAAGATGTACTCAGTCGTTGTCAGCCATTTGAAGATGAAATCGAGGAACTCATGTTCACTGGGGAGGAACCCAGGACGTATGAAGAGGCGGCGAACGAACAGGAGTGGCAAGCTGCAATGAAGAAAGAACTGGAGTCAATTGAAGCTAACAATACATGGATATTAACGAATCTTCCCAAAGGACAAAAACCAATTGGATTAAAAAGGGTTTATAAGGTAAAGAAAGATGCAGGTGGAAAGATCATTAAACGCAAAGTTCGGCTTGTCGCAAAGGGGTACGCACAACAAAAAGGAGTTGATTTCAAAGAAGCTTTCGCGCCAGTGGCTAGAATGGAAACAATTCGAGTTATCTGGGCCTTAGCAGCAGACGAGGGGTGGAGAGTTCATCATATGGATGTCAAATCGGCATTCCTAAATGGGGTGCTACAGGAGGAGGTGTATGTTTCACAACCTGATGGATTTCATGTCAAACGGAAGGAGCACATGGTGTACAGACTGAACAAAGCCCTCTACGGGTTGCGTCAAGCCCCAAGAGCTTGGAATGCAAAACTCCACAAGACACTCAAGGACATGGGCTTTCAGCGATGTCCTCAAGAATATGTTGTATACAAGATTAAGAAGGCAAATATGACACTGCTGGTGGGAGTGTACATAGATGATCTAATTGTAACAGGTTCAAACAACGAGTTGATCGATGCTTTCAAAAAATAAATGAAAAGGGTGTTCGATATGAGTGACTTAGGTGTGTTATCCTATTATCTTAGGATTGAAGTCATGCAAAAGAATGGAAATATCATGATAAACCAAGCTGGGTACGCTGAAATGATCTTGCAAACTGCAGGTATGGGTGACTGTAATCCCACCAAGTACCCCATGGAACCACGATCTGGTTTAACAAAGGATGAAGAAGGAGTACCAGTCAACGCCACTGATTACAGACAAATTGTTGGAAGCTTGAGATACCTAACCCACACAAGACCCGATTTGAGCTAGTCTGTGGGTATTGCAAGCAGGTATATGGATGCTCCAAAAGTGAGTCATCTGAAGGTTGTGAAACAGATATTGAGGTACATCAAAGGTACCAAGAATTATGGCTTGGTATATAAAAGGGGTGGAGACAAGAAGTTAGTTGGGTACAGTGATAGCAGTTATGGGACGGATTTGGATGAAAGAAAAGGAACAACTGGAACAATCTTTTATTTTTCTGGTAAAGTTATCACATGGTCTTCACAAAAACAACGAACAGTGGCGTTATCTTCATGTGAGGCGGAGTTCATGGCAGCTACAGAAGCTGCATGTCAAGCATTGTGGCTGAGGAGCTTGATAAAAGACTTAACATGGATGAAGGAAGAAAGGGTGAAACTTTATGTTGACAACAAATCAGCAATAGCTTTGATGAAGAACCCAGTTTTCCACGGGAGAAGCAAGCATATTGATACCAAGTTCCACTTCATACGCGGGTGTATTGAAAGAAGGGAGATCCAGGTGGAGCATGTAAGCGGGGAAGATCAAAAGGTTGATCCTTTGACCAAAGCCTTAGCACGTATGAAGTTCATGGAGATGAGGAACCTGTTGGGAATAGAAAGCATTGCAGATTAAAACTCAGAATTAAGGGGGAACATGTTAGGTCTAATTCTAAGTTGGCCGTTGAGGCATTTGAATAAAGATGATTTGGTCCTGTGTTAACCACGTATTTAGGAGAATAATGTGGCATTTGACCACACACGTAGAAGCACATGCAGATGCATGTAAATCACTATTTTCTGTTTTCTTTGTATTCGGTATTTATATTTCCCTTTTGTAATCAGTTTCAAGTAATGCAAACAGAGAACATTCAATTGGTTCTTAGAAACTCTATCTTTATATTTTGTGGCTCGAACTATTTGATCCAAGAGGGCTGATCTCCTACAATGAATTGGATAGCTTCCAAAAACGTGACTGCACCAACTTCTTTTTTTTTTTTTTTTAATAAAACTTATGGATTACTATAATAGGCGCGTGTTTTCCTTGCAGTGTTACTAAGCAATTCCATGCAGGTTTTTGGTTACGAATTATCAGCATGCTCAATCCTATTAGGCTATTTCTATTAATAAAATTCCGTGTGGCTTTGGTTTGCGTATTATTTCGTAATGTTAGATATTGTATAGGGATATATGGCTGCAATCTACAACATTTCTTTCTTTGGGTTCTTTTTTGTGTGGTGAACAGGGAACGGTTCATACTTGGCATGTGTTTTTTCCTCTTGTGTTATTAACCAAATTGCAGGTTTCAACTAAGAACACCAATCAGTTTTCCAATCTTATATGGATGTTGTTAACCTCTCAGCTTTTATCAATATATTTAGAGAATTTAGTTCTTTTAGTTCTTATTAATATAGTAAAAGGGAAAGCAGGCCTCACCTTTCAACTTATAAAACCGGAAGATATCTTTTGGAGTACGAGTTGACATAAAGCTATCAGTTTCAATCCTTATTTAAGTGTTAAAATGAGGGTGGACCTTTCGATTCATAAAAAAATGAAGTATTAAAAAAATTAAATATTAAAATGATAGTAGTGTAAAAGAACGAAAAGATAAAAGAAAAAAATGTTACTTCATAATTTGGTATGTAAGCAGCTAGGTGTAGAACAAAAAATGGTGGATCTTTCTCTATCTTTTCAATTAAATGAGGAGCATAATTGGTAACGCATATAAACTTGATGAATTAAAGAATTCGTGTGGAAAAATGAGCTCCCAGTTAATAAAAAAATATAAAATGTCTAACTGATTATATTAATAACGATTAAAAAATAAATAAAAATAAGAAATATAATCAATACAAAAATATAGAATTGGTAATATTTTTCCCTTCATCGATATCAGATATCAGTGATATATGTAAATCTCAAAAGATAATTATCAGTTTGCTAATTATACCGAATCACAATAAACAATTAAATAGATAACCAATAAATTTTCTCCAGTACGTATTAATTCTAGTTTGAACTTCTCACTTTTTTTATATTATATACTTATAATTTGTTTGGCACATATATATATATATATATATATATATATATATATATATATATATATACACACACGAAACAAAAATTTCTCATAATCAATGGAGGCGAAGATAAGCAGATGCGATGGGCAAGCGATAGAGAAGTTGGCTAGAGAAAATTTGAGTTTAATCGTCCAGCAAATGAATGGAAACCCTAGTGTTTCTGAGCCTTGTCGTCGTGTTTATGAGTGCAAAGACTGCGACAAGAAGTATGATACATTCCAAGCTCTCGGTGGTCATCGGGCAAGCCACAAGAAGGTTAAGCTAAGCGGTTCAGAAAATTCATCTCCTTGGACGTCCCTTCAAAAGTTGCATGGATGCAAGGTTTGTGGAGTGGAGTTTGCTATTGGACAGGCCTTGGGAGGACACATGCGGCGGCACCATGGACTGAAACTGGGAAACAGCACGATGGTGGAGGTGGATAATGAGCTACAGCAGAAAAAGGACGAGGATGATAATTATGATAACTCATGGCGGCAAGAGGTCAACTGTGCGCTGCATGATACGGGCGATGATCAGTTAAGGCAGCCGGCGGAAGTTGTGAAGTATTTACAGACGTCCGGTGAGGATGAGATGGCGGAGACAGCTAAAGAATCTACTGCGGTGGTGCCACGAGAAGAATTTAAGTGTTGTGATTTGAACTTACCTCCAGAAGATGATGATAGACACAATGAGTTTCAAGTACGCAGTTATTATAACTTTCTTTAAGCCTCATTATCTCCATATATTCTTTTAATTAATTTATATATTAAGGGAAGTTAGGGTTTTGGTACTAACTATCTTTGCGGGTCAATTAGGATGAAATCCTTATTTAACTTAATTTATTCCCTAATTTGCAAGTAAAATTTTGTTTTCAGGTGTTGGCATTATGAACTTAAGAAAACGTTCTGAGATTATTATACTTTGCTATAACGTTTGTAGCAAGACATGATCAGTACAGAATTTATAACAGGAAACCATGTGGTTTCATATTTAACCTGTTCAACCAAAAACCCTTAATTAGTGGTTTTTTGGAATTGTGTTTTTTTGGACTAGAGCAAGGTTAAATTAGTAAAAACCAGTATGCAAAACAAATATTTAATGACTAAATCGGTTTAAACTTGGAATAAACCAGGTCTTGAAGTGGGGTTTGAGCTATGATTCAAATGAGTTTAAAGTTTGCCACACAACCAGTGAAATCTGTTCGCATTGTTTCTTCTATGGGTCAATTGAGACTTAATCCACATTGAAAACTATTCTATTTTCAAAATTTCATACCTTTTTCCACACTTCCTATTTAGAAACTTTACTTTTTCACATTTGAGACACAAATTCACACTTTTGAATCCATATTGAAAATCTTTTATATTTATAAAATTTTCTATTTATTTTCTCGACTTATTTTTTTTTTTGGATTATTTAAGCCTTACGTGATATACGATCCAATGATCCATAATAAACGAAGAATGTTTGATTCCTAAAATTTAATTTTTTTACTAGGTAACTTTTATAAACAACCCATAATAATTATTTGTGTAAACAATTCCATAATAATAAATAATCCTTTGTTTAGAACACAATAACCTTGTCAATCATTATTTTAATTATTAACTTTTTAACTTTTGATAGGTATAATTCAAATTTGTAATAAGCCTTTGTTTAAACAATTCATAATAACTTACAAATTTTACTCATTATTTTTTACTTAAAGAACTTAACTCAATAATCGGGGCTAAAAGGCTTGATTCTTAGCCAATCCATAACAATCTTTCTTATCACGCTTTTTTTTTTGACTAGTAAAAAACCGCGCGCAAGTTGCCGTAGGATTGTATAAATAAACTTACTTGAACATCATCTCAAATGACGCACCAATCCAACTACAATTTTCTCAATTAAAACATCATCTCAACCGACCTAACATAATTATTCTGAAATCAGGTTGGGCACAATATAGATATAAAGATAATCACCATGATAAAGTTCAATCGGATATAAATAAGTTTGTGTGTATGTGTGTGTGTGTGTGTGAGAGAGAGAGAGAGAGAAGGAGAGAGAGGTTGGTGTTGTTTGGGAGAAGTTCATTGATTTATTATTACAGCATCATACTTTCATTTCTTTTTATCACAAGTTTACAACTTTAATTTTGAGAAATCTAACCCACTTGTAGTAGCATCATCCAAATGCCAAACGATTTCCAGAGTTGTTGGATAGATTTTTCAAAGTATAATATCCAAATAAAAAAAAAATGAAACTACATTAATGCTAGAAATTAGTATATTTTTCAATGTATAATGCCTTAATAAAAGAATATTCAATGCTATAGTAGAAAAAAAAATGAAAGGATGTTATAGCACAAAAAAATGAAACTATGTTGTTATTTTTTGAATTTGCATCATTTAATATGGTGTCCTTGCATGCCAAACCAATAATAAACAGCCTTTTAAAGTAAAATCAAACGTAATAGTTGCATTATATCACTACAAATGCAAAAATAGAAAATAATACATTTTTTATATTGACAGGAAACCTTAACCTCCCATAAATTGTAACTGAAGTAAAATGATATTATCTTTAACAAATTATAATGAAAAATAGTAATGAAATGAACATTTTAATTTCGAAAATTGATGGTAATCGTTAGGTTTGTTAGGGCAAAAAATAGCTCCATTTGGACCATCTGATTTAGGAGAAAGCCCCGACTCCTGAACTCCTACTCATGCTCGATATGAAATTTGTTGTTGTCAACACAAGAACCACCATTGATTGACCATTTTACCCTCACATTCGAATAAAAAAAAATCAAATTTCATAGTATTCATCAATTATAAATAGTCATGATTTTTTTAGTATGAAAGGTGTTAGGAGAAACAAATAAGGGGTATAGGTAAAGGGTAAAACGCTCGTTTTGTCTCATTAAGACCAATTTATTATGAGTAGAAATTGAAAATTACACTATACAACAAACGAGACCTATAGGGACGACAATTGTCGTCTCTATAGGTTCAAAAAGTCATCCCTATAGGAGTTTGGGGCGATATGTCGTCCCTATAGCTTTCGTCTCTATAGCCCCGTCGCAATAGATCTGTATTGTCGTCACTAAAAAACTCGTCGCGATTGGTAGCCTTTGGTGACGATATGTCGCCCTATTCTGATTCGTCGCTATAAGTTGCTGGTCTCCTTTGGTAAAGCTATAGGGACGACATGTCGTCTCTATAGATTAATCGATAAAAGCAATTTGTCATCTCCACAAGTACATCTATAGAGACGACTTGGCGCCTCCATAGATAAACCTATGGAGACACCATGTCGTCTCCATAGATACAGCGATAGACACAATTAGTCGTCTCCATAGATGGATACAGAGTGGGCAGCAGTCACCCTCTAGCAACGGTGTTTCGTCGTGGTTGATGCATCTGTAGAGACGACATGTCGTCTCTATAGGTATGTCGTGTCGTCTCTATAGATACCCCTATAAAAACAACATGTCGTCTCTATAGGTATCTGTAGAGATGACATGTTGTCTCTATAGGTATGACCATGTCGTCTCTATAGGTATGTCTATATAGCATCTTTTAACCACTATAATTTCCCAAATTCTTAAAACAGTAAATTTACAAAATAGCTAAATCGGTAAATTTAATTGCAAAATATTAAAATACAATATAATCTTAAAACTTTAAAATATAATACAATCTCAAAACATTTACCAAAACATTCATTTAAAATGTATAAAAGTTTCATAGAATTACAAATACTACCTAATTTAATCTGATCCACTAGAAGTTTGCCAATCGGTACTTTGATCATCATCACTTTGAGCATCATCATTATATATCACTTGTCTGTTCGGAAGTTGTACCTGTGAGAGATCAATATTGAATTGAACCGGCGGTGGAGGTTGGGTGTTTGGATTTTGAGACATGAACATTTGTTGCATTTGTTGATTAAACTGTTGACTCAATTGTTGAGCCAACTGAAGAGCAAATGCATTGAGGTCTACATTATTTGTTGAAGGAGCCGGGATATTATAAGGTGCTACATTTTTCATTTTTCGACCAACACCCCGTGTATGACCTCTCCTTTCTACAAGTACACGAGCCAAGCATTCTAGCTGTTTGACTTTTGATTCATCACCACCAACCTCGTCCAACATTTTCTTATATTCATTTTCAATTTTAACCTACAACAAAAAAAACAATAAACATACATTAGTTTTTTTTAACTAAAAATCGGCAGCATAACGACTATAAAGAAGACAACCAACCTGTCCAACTATAATTAATAAGAACAATAAGTCTAAAATTTCATCATACCTATCATAGCAATCTACTTTCGATATATTTAATCTGTTTTAAATAGCAATATAAGCAATATAGGTAATCCACTTTTAATACCATAATAATATAGAAACTTTTTACTTACCCAATCTTGTTGTGCTCGCATGTTGCACCATCCACGACGTTCTTTATAGTGACTCTTCTTCCAACCCTCAATATAATTCACCTTTCCTGTTGCTTTTCTCTATATAGAGTTAGAAAAAAACTATTATTAAGATTTCATATAACTGTTAATAAATCCTTAAATAATACTAAAAATAAACTTACTTCCTTAAACCGCTTTTGGGAATAGGGTTCACTCCCATGTGAACTTGGATAAAGTTGTTTTCCTCTGTTCTCACTATTTTGTATAGACTTTCCCTTCCATTTTTCATTTGTGTAAAGCTTGTCGATAACTTTTCCCCACTCTTTTTTAGACTGTGTCCGTGGGGGATTTCTCTTTACGAAGTCTACATCCTTATAGCCTCCCACTGTATCAAAATGTTCCTTTAACTTCCCTTTCCGACGCCTGTAACACGATGCACAATCACTGTCGATTCCTTGAATCATTTGATTCCAGAAAGGTGCGTCTCGGAAAGCTTCAATATCAAAATAATTCTACAAAAGAAAGGATTATTACACATCTAAAAATTATAAGATTTAAATAAAAATAAAACATTATATTGTATACTTACATGCACTTCGAGATAAACTTTGCTTTTGAATTTTGCAGGGACATCTTTCCAACTTGGATAGTGAAAAAGGACAAATTTTGCAACACTATTTGAGACACACCGTATGTAAACTTGGTAATTGTCTCCACAAAACTTAAATTGTTTTCCCGTAAGTTCAATTTCAAGTGGTAGCGGCCCTTTGTTTTTATCAAACATTCGTTCCAAATTTATGTTTCGTCCATTCATACGAGTTTTCTTTGGCTTTGCAACATTGACACATGTAATTGAAAAGTTAGTATGTTAAAAATATATTCAATATGAAGACATATTTTATCATAAGAAGTTACTTACATGACTCACAGGATGTCGGGATCTTCTGTGGACGTCGGGGAGGTTCATTCCCACCATCTCCACCATGGCCCCGTGCAACATGTGCCGACATTTCTTTGATTGAAATAAATAATAAAATAAATTAAACAAATATTATAAGCAACAATTAAAACATTGTAAAAACTATCCATTAAAGATACAAAAACATTACAATACATTCAATCATAATCATCACTAGAATAATATGTGTCTACAGGATCATCATCGTTTTCATCATTATCATCAATAATTTCGTCTTCTGAAGGGTATGTATCACTGTCTTCCTCATCATCATCAATGAAACCTTCATCGTCCACAATAGGAGCATCACTTGATTCACCAACTTCATGTAAAGTTGCCCGCATGGGCAAATAGCCTAAGTCGGCGACCAAGTTAGAATGAAATGATTGATCATCCACAACAAGGGCAACACATCTCTCAACAACCACATTTGATTCACCATCATTGCCTACGTCGACAACCAAGTTATAATCAGATGATTGAGTGTCGTGTAAAACATCTACATCATTAACAAGACTGAGACTTGGATGGTCCCAATGTTTTCGATGGTGAACGTCTTCCACAACTCTCCAATTATTGCCATTTCGAGAAGGATCTTGAAGATAAAACACTTGTTTCGCTTGTGTGGCTAAAATGTATTGGTCACCATCGTACCATGCATTACCGACATACCATTCACGATTGATGTCAATAGCAACGACACCATTTTTCTCAACAGATCGTCTTTTCCCCGATGTATTAAACCATTTGCAACGAAATAGAACAACCGAGTAACCACTTAAATAGTTCAACTGGATAATCTCCGCCAATTGACCATAAAATGGTGTACCATCTTCTCCAAGTGTAAAAACACCACTGTTCTGAGTAGTACGTCGAAGCTCACGATCATACACTACAAATCTAACACCATGGACTATGCAAGCAGTGTAAGAAAACGCGTTCAACGGACCATGTGCCAATGCCTTTAATTCATTGGTACATTCAGGGGACGAATTTCTTTCTAGCCGATAGACCTAGAAAGATATAATATTAATAACTTCTAATAATATTATACTTTAGATTTATATATAAGTATGTATAAAATATATCTACCTTATCATTGAACCATGAAGAAAATTTCGCTTTTACATCTCTTCCCGACTTTTTAGATGTAAATTCGATGTATGTAGGAGAAAGGGTTCAAATTAATTTATCAAAATACCTAAAAAGAAAATATAAAAAATAAAAATAATTACGATATATAGCATTTAACTTCATCGCAGTTGTATAATACAAACCAATGCAATGCTTTCGAGGCCTCTTTAGAAAGAGAAATGATTTTCTTTTTCGACATCGGACGACATTGTAATGAAAACACATAAAACCGACTCTTCGGAATGCCAACATCTGCATTTCTTTCGGGACGATTAAATTTGGTTTGTATACCATCAAGATACATGGAGCAGAATGTCAACGCTTCATCTGCAACATAGCCTTCTGCTATTGAACCTTCAGGTCTTGCTTTGTTTCTTACATAAGCTTTTAACTTTTTCATGTATCTTTCAAAAGGATACATCCATGTCATATGTACAGGCCCTCCAAGAATAGCTTCTTCAGGTAAATGTAGAACTACATGAACCATTATATCAAAAAATGCTGGAGGATATATCAACTCCATATTGCATAAGATCTTTATCAATTCATTATGTGCTTTGTACATGTCTTTCACATCCAATGTTCGTGCATAAATTTTTTTAAAGAATGTGCAAAGGTCAATGATTGCTGTTGAAACATTTGTAGGCAAACCAGCTCGAACCCCTATTGGTAGCAGTCGTTGCATGAGGATGTGATAATCATGAGACTTTAACCCAATTATATTTGAATCATTAGGAAGCACCTTGTTCTTAAAGTTTGATCCAAAACTGTCGGGTAGTTTGACTCCTTTAATGAACTGCCAGAAACGTTCTCGATCAATTGGTTTGAAAGAGTAATCTGGATGTGGTTGATTGATCTTGTTATTCTTTTGTAGCCATAAATTGTCTCGAATACCCCAATTTTCCAAATCTTCTCTTGCTTTTTATGTGTCTTTTGAGTTTTCATTCTTCAACAAAGTACCCACAAAACTCTTAGACACATTTGTCTGCACGTGCATAACATCCAGATTGTGTTTTAGTTCTAACGAAGACCAATAACTAAGCTCAAAGAAGATACTCCGTTTGGTCCAATTTAACTCTGACTCTGTTCGCTTTCTTTTCACACCCCCACCATAGCTAGGATGTTTCCCTGGAATACGATCCGGGAGACAGTCTAGTTGCTTTAATATTGTTGCATTACTGAATCGCCGAGGAGGCTTTCTCGACTCTTTTTTGCCATTAAACAACAAACTCTCCCTCCATTTGTGCTTGCTATGCAAGAATCTTCTATAACCAACATAAGCTATCTTGTTGGTTATACGACATGAAGGTGTGTCTTTATTGCAGGTAGAACAAGCTTTATAACCTTGAATCCAGACAAACTGCTACAAGCAGGATAATCATTGATAGTCCATAATAGTGATGCATGCATCGTAAATATAGTGTTGGTTGCTGCATCTCTCATTTGCACTCCTTCGTCCCACAACATTTTCAACTCGTCTACCAAAGGCCTCAGTAAAATATCAATGTCCTTCGCAGGTGATTTAGGGCCAGGAATTAGCAAAGTCAACATGAAAGAAGACTCTTTCATACATAACCATGGTGGGGTATTGAACGTTGTCAATATTATCGGCCACATACTATAAGACTGATTCATGTTGCCAAATGGATTAAATCCATCAGCAGCCAAACCCAAGCGAACATTTCTAGGTTCATTGGCGAACTCAGGATAACGCTTATCAAATTCTTGCCATGCCTTCCCATCAACTGGATGATACATCTTACCATCATTTGACCGCCCTGTATGATGCCAAATCATGTCTTTTGCCGTGAATCTAGAACTATACCTTCGACGAAGCCTGGAAGTCAAAGGAAAATAACGCAACACTTTTTGTGCCACTTTCTTCCCTTTTGTGTTTTTTTCAACCCATCTGCTCTCGTTACAAATAGGACAGTTCTGCATCGACTCATTCTCCTTCCAAAACAAAGCACAATCATTAATACAAGCATGTATAGATTGATATCCTAACCCAATCTTTTTCAACTTCTTCTTAGCTTCATAGTGTGAAGCTGGAATCGCATTTTCTTTTGGGAACGCAACTCTTAAAAACTCTAAAAGTTGGTCCATCGAACTGTCTGTCCATTTGTTGATGGCTTTCATGTGCATCAGTTTTGCTATAAAGTTTAGGGAAGACATCCAGCTACAACCAGGGTATAACTCTATATTGGCCTCTTTAAACAATGCATCAAATTCTGGGTCTAAACTAATTCCTTCTCCATCAATATTTCCTTCATGTGTATTTTCCTCTGCCATAACATCATCTATCGCATCAAACATTTCATGTGTTGTTGTAGTATGGTTTTTAGGAAACCAAATTTTGTCTAAATCCGAAGAAGGATATTCCTCCCCGTGATGAATCCATATACGATATGATTGAAGAAATCCACGGTCATGTATGTGGGCATAAACTGTAGTCACAGTTTGTCGATACATATTTACACAATCTCTACACGGGCAACATGTTTTTCCTTCACCATCGACATGGTTCTTGGCAATCTCTATAAAGTTTCTAAGACCTTTCAGGAATTCTGGAGAGCTCCGATTTGATAGTATAATCCAACTCTTATCAATTGTCATAACTGTTTGATTATCAAGAATTAGATTGTATGTATAGTAAATATATAACTAATTTGGTTTTTATTTAGGATTTATTTTTCATATTCTTCATATTATATCATCCTACTTGTAATGCTTTATTTTTTTATAGCATTCTACTTCTACTTGTATTGCTTTATTTTTTTTTATAGCATTATACTTCTATTATAGTTAAACAACTTGAAGCCTAGTACAACAAAATGAGGGAATATATATTATAGATTAATCCTAGAAACTAGAAACTCAATTCTAAAAACCATACTTGAAAGTTTAAACAAATTACTTTTAGTAACTTGAGTTTATATTTCATAATTCAAAAGATCATTTATGAATGTTGAAATGGTTCATCTTTAGTTGTTTATATCTGATCTGATTCAACATACTTTGTGTGTTTAATTCATGTTAAGTTGCATATCATACTTTGATCAAACTACCAATTATAGCAAGAAATAGCATTGTACTTTTATTGATTTGATTACTATATCATCATACTTTAATTATTGTTCCCTGTTGAATCATCACATGTTAAGGTTATTGCATGAAAATTATTAGCATGCTGAAATTACACCTTGTGATTATGTAGATTGCGGAAATGGATTTACCTCCAAAAGGAAATTACTATACATGACCTAAAAAGGCATGATTGAAATAAAGAACTCTTACCTCTTTAAGCTTGAATTTTCTAAAAAGTTAACTTTGATCGGTAAATGTTACTACTCGAGCTCCATGATTTCTTACTCTAAATTCTGCAACAAATTAATAATTAGTATCTAAGATACAACTTTACATTATAATCAATAGAGGTGTATGGATTTACCTCTTTTATGTGGTTGTGAAACACATAAAACACATCACATGCTCAAGTTAGAAAATTCTGCAAAAAAAAAAAATCAAGAGGTTAAAACGCATTGATTATAAAATATTCTGATTAAAATGATTAAATTTACCCAAAAAGCCCTTGAACAAATCCATACTCTCCACTTTCCTCATAGTCTTAAAATGAAACAACATTGTTACATTTGTTTGTGTTCTTTTTATTTTTTTTCAATTTAATGCATTTTATTTAACATGTGTACTTTTAAAAGGGAAATTGTAATTATAATGAATTAAACAAAATGCCACTTAAATAAAACATAATTAATGGACCTTATAAAACAAAATACTACTTGATAAATAAAACATAATAATCAAAATGAACCTTACAAAACAAAGGTTAGTTGTGGACTTGTGGCTTTGGATGCTTCTATGAAAAATAAAAATAAAAAATAGCATTAACTAATATGATCAATATTTATTTAAAAAACGTCACCACTAAAAATAAATTTAATAGTTATAATTATGTATAAGTGAATATTAATTCTGTCATAGCACACTAATGCCAACTGCCGGTGCTTCATATGGAATGATAGCATTTTATTAAAATAAATCAAATATTTCATTTAACTAATATGATAAGGCAAATATAATATTCTTAAATAAAAAATACGCAATCCATTTTAGATTAACAGTAGTAGATTGGCAAATTAACGAGATTTTGTGAACATGTTAAAAAAAAATTCAGTACAAGACGACTAGGTCTTCAATTGTCGGCTTAATTCAATCTAATTGTGCCAAGAAAAAAGATCGTAACTTGAGTTCAGAATCCAATGCTAATAACAAATTCAATCCATGCTAATAACAGGCAAAATCTAATAGATTTCTTTATTTTATTCCTCTGTATTTCTGTATGTTCTTGAATTTTCAACTTTTGGAATTGAACTTTTTCAATCAATGAACTTTCATGATCAATTTGCGAGTAGACAATATCAAGTTTCCTAGCAACAATATAACATATATTGTCATATTTAGCAATATTGATTTTAATCAGGTCTCATTTTCTCTAATCAAATTAGACATAGAACATGAGTCTGAATGGAATGCAACACAGAGTATCAGAGATTGAAAATGATGTAAATGAATCTTTGAAGAAAGATAATCAGAGACCAAATGAATCTTTACTATTCATAATTCAGTTTCTATATATCTTTAAATTTGGATTTTTCTTTAAGTTTAATGATTGGAATCTTACCCCATTCTGAAACTCTGTCCTAGAAATCAACCCTGTTCCAAGAATTTACAAAAACAGAAACAACCAACAAAAATAACCCAATTAAATCTTTTTGGTGTTGGGTTTGTTGGATTCCATGGGATTTGGAATTCCATTCCATTGTTTGGTTGTAAAAGACTATGGAATTGAATTCAGTTGGAATTCACAAAATCCTTTTTGATTCCAACATTTCATTCTAAGTCCCAAGGAATTCTCCTTGTTAAGAATACATATTTTTTCAAAGGGTAATTATCATTGTTTATAATATTTAAAACCTGAATTCCATTTTGTGTTCTACAAAAACGAGTAGTTTTGCCATTTATCATTTATATTCATTTTAAAACAGAAATATACAAAGGAATGGAACTGAATTCCATTCCATTTCTGTCAACAAAACATGTGACAAAATATCAATTCTTTCATATTTCAACCAAACCAAACACCAAAAAGATTTAAATGAAGTTCTGGTGATATTATGAACAAAGAACAAATAAATAGCTTTCATGTTGCAGTAAGTTCGCCTCAGTTGTCCAGTATTTTCAAATTTCAACCATTGATTAGATTATCAAGTAAATTACATTTTTGTCAATGTCCTACAGTGATATTTTGGATCTGGTTCAACAACGAATCTTTTTTTTTCCTTTTTGGTCCCTGGACTATAATGATATTTTTAGATCTGATCCAACAAGGAACCTTTTTTATTTTCCTTTGGTCCCTGTCTCAACCAAATCATTCCCGAAAAAGGAAAAAAATAATCCTCTTTGGATCAAATCTGAAAATATTGCTATAGCACAGGGACTAAAGATGTAATCGTAAGCTGATTTCAACTGTATCTGTGTCTACCTTCCCTTATTTTTAGTGGGCATCGAAAAGATGTTTCATATGTCAATGGATGTGCACGTGATACAAGTAGGATTGCAAAGCTAAACACAGACCTGAGGGGATATTCCATGGAAAAATTGGCAACTCAATAGAGAATAACAAAAAGGTTAATCATTATGGATAAGCACAGGTGAAGAACAGAAAGAAAATGACAATTGGATTAAAGAAATCTTTAAAGCTAGAATTGAAAATGTAAGTGCTTCAGAAGTTTCTTTGAATGTGGGAAGGAATCATAAGAACTGTGAGATACCAATAAGATCTTCTCATGAATTGGAAGATGATAAAATTGTTTGTGATGCTAAAGAAGTTGTAGGTGAAACAAAAGTTGTAGAACATCCAACAAGGTCTTCTGAAGAGATAGACAGGGACCAAATGTTTTTTTTGTACTTGAAACTTGTGAAAATAAGGAGACAATCAAAGATGACATGCACATAGAGTCAAAGGAGAATAAAGATGAGGTGGGACCCAGTAATTCTAATAAACTTGCTGAAGAAACCAACAACTTAGCTTTGTATCAGAAGGTGGAAAATGAAAAGAAAACATCCCATGATTATGATGAAAATGGTTATGAGAAGAGATTCAGTGAAGCATTGGGGTTATTGGAAAATACAAAGCAGGAAGTACTTGAACACCGAGGAAGTAGTAATTGCAGAGATTCATGAATCAAATAGTGATGATGAAGCAAGTGAGAAAGTGGTTGAGGAAGAAAAAGAAGTGAAAGAGGAAAGTGACACTGAAAGCCACATGGAAGAAGACACAAAAAGAAGTTTTATGATGTTTGTGATGTGGAAATAATTGAGAATTCATCGAGTGATTATGATGATGCAGAAGAAAGTGAGAGCATCCAAAGTGACAACAATGTGGAATCAGGTCAAGAAGTTGATGGTGTCAGCAATAGCTCACCACAAGCTACATTAGAAGACACAGAAGCAATAATTATGAAAAATCTGAATCATGTTCAGATATGATACATGGTATGGAAGAAACTAAATTATGTGAAGATGGAAGAATAAAGGATGCAAACAAATTGTTGAATGAAATGACTGAGAAAAAGGTTGTTCATGATAAAATCACTTGTAACACGCTGATTAATGCTTATTGCAAGGTTGTATGCAGGATTAAAGACTGATTTGTTTACTTACAAGGCATTGGTTCATGGATTTTGCAAGATTAAAGATATTGAAAATGCTAAAGTGTTTGTTTTCTGTATGTTTAATGATGGATTATCTCCAAATAATTGCAATGAAGAGATGGTTTTGAAGCTACCTGAGGAGTTTCAACAGAAGGGTATAATTGTCTCATTGGCATTTAACATTGTCAATTCATTTGTTCCTTCTTCTCCTTATAACACAGAAAATCCAAGTTTATAATGAACTCAAAATTGTAATCATGCAGCTTAAAACCCCAAAATTGGATGAAAATAATGGATTTTCTTAAGCAAACATAAGAAATTCTCAACTAGATATGAGAAGATTTCAATAATTGAAGTAAATCTGTGAATAACAATTGAAGTAAATCTGTGAATACTGTACATGAAAAAGAAACTGTGATTATCAATGCTGAAAACAAAATACCTTTTAATAAGCTGGGGAACCAGAAATGGTGGGAGCAAATCGCCTCCTAAGACAGCAACTAAGAGAGCAACCGTGAAAGCATAGAAAATCACGAGTTAGGGATGGAGAAGAAGGAACAAAAAAACATAGAAATATAGAGATGCGCATGAGCTTCAACGAACCTGTACAAAAAGATAGAGATTTGCTTGAGTTCTAAGCCTTGAACGAGAAATAGAGATGGAGGCGTTAGGGTTAGTGAAGGGGGAAGACGGATCCTGAGACAAGTTATTCGATGAGCACGGAGCACCCAAGAACCCAGAGAAGATCCGATACCGGAGACCGGAGACGCCCAAACGGAAAAGGATGCTAAGATCATAACCCTATGGGGACAATCTATCGTCCCTATACCCACAAACAAACGACGTCGTTTTCACTTTTCCAACTAAATAGATTAAAAATATATATTTTTTGGTCATAGAAAGCTATGGGGACCACAAGTCGTCCCGATATTTACCCCAAAACACTTTATTTCCGTTAAACGATTAAAAAAAATATGTTATTTTTAATTTTTGTTATTTATTAGAGTGATATGTCGTCTCTATAGGTGTTTAAAGAACGTGTCAATCCCTAATTTTTCCCGCTTAACATGTTGAGACAAAAAGTCGTCCCAGTATCTAAAAAAGTCAATAAAAAATGGTCAACTCTATAGTGACGATATGTCGTCCCTATAGAAAGCCTATAGCGACGACTAATGTCGTCCCTATAGAACTCGTCCCTATAGGTGTTTATTCTTGTAGTGTTACAGCCTGCAATATACAATGAAATATCCGTTCCAGCATAAACAAAAAGGTTAGTCAAATCCATAACTTAAGCTCAACGACAAATGAAGAGAAACTTGTTTTAATCTTTGATTTTAAAAATAATAAGAAAAAGATTCATAATTCATTCCTCTTCTTCTGATATTTCAAATTATCATTCATCTTGTTGATCTCACTTACAAACAACTACATGTCATATGAAAATAAAAATGAATTCATTAAATTAATCAGATTCCTCTTGAATCAAAGTGGTACAAATGTTGTTTAATATTGATGAAAATGAAAGAATTTGTGCAAATATTAGGCCGAGATTGATCACGCTCGTGATTAAATGACAACGCCAATAGCAAATGTACAAATTAATAATAAAATTTTATTCAATTTATGATAAATTCGCAGGTTTCTTTCATATAGTGTCAAGAAGAGCTCCAAGGCAATTTATTTGACACTACTAGGGAATACTTCAAACCCCACAATTTCATATCCAGAAACTTTCTTTTTTATCATCACTTGTTGATATCACTCTCATATTATAACGTCCCAAAATTTAAGGCCAAAAGTTTCATTTTTATAATAATAAAACCATCATTCAAAACGTGTTCATAAAACCATAAAAGAAAATCAGAGTATGCCAATAATCATCCAAATACATGAAGTCAACAAATTCGGAACAACATGGTGTGTGCGATGCGATTATCCTGAGCCCTTCCCCTTCGATCCGAAAGCACCTGACACATAAACTAAAAACCGTAAGCACAAAGCTTAGTGAGTTCCCTAAAATACTTCATACCATACATATCAAACATATAATGGGTCATGCCCAACAACCATCGGGCCTTGCTCGGAACAGATCTGTCAGAACATTAGATGGGCCCCGCCCATCACATTTATCAGGCCTCGCCTAGCATTGGGCCCCGCCCGACATTCATATATACACATAAACACATGCAAAAATCACTAAGATAAATAACATACAATACACCCATCAGCCATCGCCTGACATTGGACATCGCTCGCTATACATATCACATACTAGACATACAAGAGTCACACAAACAACTAGAATCCTAAACATAATAAATCATAGGTCGACATTGGTGCCTTCAACCCGTCAATCATAGTGAGGAGATTGACCTCAAACTCATGAAAATCAGATAAATGCTCGGACTACTGATTCGGAAAAATCCCTTCGCTAATCAATCAAATAAAACCCTAATAAATAATTGGGCCATAAACCGTAACTCGGAAACTCATTCATTTTTCCAACTCCCAGGGTAAAAGACCATTTTACACTTTCCTCACTTGGCCCAATAACCAAGGCCTAACCCAATGGCTCCAAAAGCCTAATATGGCTTAAATTCCTAAATGAGGCCTAAGGCACATTATGGGCCCAAATACAAGAAATCCCAAAGCCTAACAATGGCCCAAAGTCAGAAAGACTATTGTCCCAACAAGGCCCAAAACCCTAAGAGTCCAAATATGGCCCATATCGAAAAAGTCAACAGAAGTCAAGGCTGCTGAGTACGCCCATCGTATTCAGACTTATGCCCTACGTACACCATCTTTGGCCAGTACACACTGTGTATGAGCTGGGTACACCCAACGTACTCCGTAGCAATGCCAACTTGCCATTAAGTGCTTAATTGGTTAAGCCTCTATGTCAAATTCTCAGATCTGATCCTAAATGATGTCTTAACATGTAAAGTTGACAACTTTACTCTGTTGCATGTCTTAATTGGACCCAATACTCAATAAAATCCATAATAAGAACCCTAACCGATGCATGGTCCACTATAACTCATCAACATTGCATTTTTATGAATAAGAGACCTAAAAAAATGCTAAGATATATCATCCTTATCTTCTGGGGTAGCTCATACACTCATGCAGGACTTAAAGGACCATAAAAAGCACAAAAACAAGCCCTAACTAGATCTAACAAAATGAACCATCAAGTTAAGAGCTTTATACCTCAAATAGCTTTCCAAGTCGATGATGATTCTGGATCAATAAGCTCTAGCCACACCAGTGTAACTTCCAAGAGTTCATCTTCCTTCAAAATCACCAAAAACACCCTTAAAGTTCACTTCTAAGCTCAAAAACACTTATAGGGAAATTAAGGTTTCGTTTTTAGGGGTTTGGAGAGGTGGAGGCTGGTCATAAGAGAGTCTAGGAGCAACTTAAGGTATTTAAATAGGGCACAAACCCTAAAAATGAGGATTTTCCCCTGGTGGCCGTACGCCCTACAATACGAATATCAACTTGGTAGTCTTGAGTACCACTTCAGTACTCCCCATGACTCGCTGACCGGCATCACCAAACATATTCGGGCTTGCACTTCCTCCCATAGAGCATCTCAAAATGAGGTCGATCAATGCTGGCGTGATAACTTTGTTATACGAAAACTTCGCCAAAGGGACATACGTATCCTAAATCCCACCGAAATCCAATACACATGCTCAAAGCATATCCTCCCCGGTCTAGATAGTCCGCTCACTCTAGCCATCAGTCTGCGGGTGGAAAGCCGTGCGGAAAATGCAATCAAGTACCATTGAAACCGACACCCCATGACGTGCCACAACCTCCCCGATGTAGACATCGACCAACTTCTCTGCATAGATACTCTCCTGAATCGTAACGAAATGCGTGCTCTTGGTCAATCGATCCACAATGACCCATATCGAATCCACTTCGCGCGCTATCCAAGGAAACTTCGTGATGAAATCCATAGTAATCTCTTCCCATTTCCAAACATGAATGTCTAACAGCTATATCTTTTCGTGAGCTCGCTGATGTTCGGCCTTGACTTTCCTGCAAGTCAAGCACCTCTCTACATATCATGCCACATCCCTCTTCATACATGGCCACCAATAATCAGGACGGAGATCTATATACATGTTTGTCGTTGCGAGATGAATAGAGAATCTCGACTTGTGCGCCTCTTCCATCAAAACCTGTTGTGCACCACCCCAGTATAGAACGCACACCCTTGGATAAAGGGTCAATAACCCCAAATATCATAATCAAAGGAAGCCACCTGTCCCACTATGCACTCACTCTTCCGGTGCTCTTTGCTCATAGCCTCAACCCGACCCTCTCGAATCTGGTCCAAGAGTGGAGTAATCACTGTCATCCTTAAGAATACATCTTTGATCGGAGCCGTGACCTCCTTGTGGCTGAGAGCATTGACCACTACGTTGGCCTTCCCCGGATGATAAAGGATCTCACAATCATAATCCTTCACCACATCCAACAATATACGTTGCCACATGTTCAGATTCACCTGATCCATCAAATACCTTAGGCTCGTGTGATCCGTGTAGATAGTACAATGGACCCTATAGAGGTAATCCCGCAAAATCTTGAGGGCAAACACCACAACCCCCAACTCTAAATCATGCATAGGATATTTAGCCTCATGAGGCTTCAGCTGCCTCAAAGCGTAAGCAATAACACGACCCCTTTGCATCAGAACTGCACTCAAACCCGTGATTGACACATCACAATAAACCACAAAATCCTCAACAACGTTTGGCAGGGTCAGGATCGGCGCCTCACACAATTTCTTCCTCAAGGTCTCAAAAGTTGCCTGCTGCTCAGGCCTTCAACGAAACGTGAGAGTCTTCGTCGTCAATCGAGTCAGAGGAACCGCTATCTTGGCGAAATCCTGAATAAACCTTCGATAGTAACCTGCCAACCCAAGGAAACTCTGAATATCAGATGGAGACCTTGGAACGTCCCGTCTCATCACCGTCGTGGCTTTGGTCAGATCAACTAGAATACCATTATGGTTGAAAATGTGCCCTAGAAATTGAACCTCGAACAACCAGAACTCACACTTGGAGAACTTCGCATACAGTCTCTCCCTACTTAAGTTCTCAAATACCCCCCTCAGATGCTCCTCGTGCAGCTCCTAAGTCTTAGAATAGACCAGGATGTCGTAAATAAACACATTCACAGACCGATCCAACATTAGTCTGCATACGCGATTCATGAGATCCATGAATGCGGCTGGAGCATTGGTGAGCTCGAAGGGCATCACCAAGAACTTATAATGACCATAACGAGTCTGAAAGGTTGTCTTCTACGTATCCTCCTCTATGACCCTCATCTGATGATAACTGTATGTAGATCAATCTTGGAAAACCAAGATGCACCCTGAAGCTGGTCAAATAAATCTTCAATCCTCGGGAGTGGATAACGGTTCTTCACCATTAGCTTATTTAGCTCCCGGTAGTTGATACACATCTGATGTGAGTCATCCTTCTTTTTCACAAACAGGATCGGTGCTCCCCATGGCGAACTACTCGGCCGAATGAACCTTTTGTCTAACAGCTCCTACAGCTGTGTAGACAACTCGTGTATCACTGGAGGTGCTAACCGATAAAATGCTTTAGCTATTGGAGCCGAACCGGGAACCAAGTCAATCCAAAACTCCACTTTCCTCTCCGGATGCACTCCAAGCAAGTCATTAGGGAACACATCCAGATATTCCCAAACAACCAGGACATCATCCATAGTCTCCTTACCCTTCTCCCGGGTATCCATAACATAGGCGACAAATCCGAAACAATCGTGCTGAAGAT